GTTTTCTTACAGAATACTAGGCGTCCCCATACTCCGTTAGACAGAATAGTTCAACTCCATACTCGCGGGATTGACTAATCTTTGGGTGATTTTATCGAGCTTGGCGCAACATTTCGAGATGACAGGCTATTATCATGACTTTTATACTCACTAGGAACCTTACCAGTATGAGAGAGAGATACGAGGTCCGTGGATTGGAGATCGAGGCGTAAGAGGACCTAGTGGTCGGCGAAGGGACGAGCAATACTACTTCTATCCTGACGGGTATGAATACCGCTTGAGAGAGCACTCGAACTCTTTCCATTGGTACTCCGAGCCATTAGTTGAGAGACATCCCAGCCAATCGCTCGAGGATATGATAGAGTCATTGACGTTACACACGTTGAAATTTCGGCAAGAGTATTCTGAGCCATTTGTTGAGAGAGATCCTGGTCCGTCACATGAGGATATGGTGAAGGAGTTAACGGCACACACCCTTAACTTTCAGCAAGGTGTTGAGGCAAGCATCAAGAGCCAAAATATGAACATCAAGAGCTAAGAGATAAGTATCAATAACCAAGGACTGCGCATCGGAAATTTACAAGGCCAAATTGGCCAATTGGCGGAACAAATGGACCGACTAGTGTACCGGTTGAAAACGAGTCTAATGAGTTCGAGCGTCATCCATTCGTACAGCGAGGACCTCAAGGAACTTGAAGAGTGCACACACGAGCTGGAGAATGAGAAAGTCACTAATATCGAGAAGAATGAGAGCAAAAAAGAGAACCAAGCTGCAGAATATGGGACTGAGCAGCAAAATACTAGGGTACCCCATACTCGACCAGCTGTAGCCAAAAAGCGTACCGTTCTTCCCGCTCTTGTGCCGATAGAAGCTGAATCCTGTCCTATGTATTCTAATATGAAGTGGGTACTGAGCAAGGATGCATTGAAGTATGTCTTGGGCCGTAATATCCAGCCTCTTGAGATGATCGAGCAAAAAACAAGGTGTAAATGGGAGTTTGATGAGATCGTGACCGTGATTGAGCGTGGGTTGCTACACATTCATGAGGAATTTGCGTCATGGTGGAAAGATCCAGTGAAGCACCCAACACTGAGGATAAGGGATGTTGTCAAGCATGGCGTGGTGAGATTTGTGGCTCCCTTGAGGCCACCTCCGAAGCCGCCATGGATCCTTTGATGAAAAGGGAGTAATAAATCGGGCCAACGATAATATAGGAGGCTGCGCAGCAGCTATGAGGTGTTAGTGTTATATACTGAAAGCTTGGCTTTGCATGTTATTACACATTTACCCTTTATGAATGAGAATCATGTTAGATTAAACAAGTTCTACGTTCTGTTGTTCTGCACTTAGATAGAGTGGGTCGTCATCGGGCGTACCGAAGATCACTCTATCAGTTACTTGCGAATAAGAATAGTTGTTCACAACCTAGATGGACATGAACACTCCATCCGAACGGTTGTAGTGTCAACTGTACAGTTTGTCTTGACTGATTAGTTGCACTAGTACATTTATGTATTGAACAGGATCCCAGAGAGGAGAAGTTCATTTTATACTGATCGTCGTAAATGAACTAGGCCTCGGTTAATTACTGCGTTCTCTTAACCCGTAAGATAT